ATCATAGAAATAACCGTTTAAAATGCCCATATTGCCCAGAAGAGTCTCATCAGAATGACGCAAAGCAGGTCTTTTTCTGATCTATTTTCAAGTGACTGCAAAACTTTGAATAAGTAGTTGTACAAGTTATACTTTTTTTTCCTTCCAAAGCCTGATTTAAATAGTACTTACAATCATGTATTTTGTGTTTATTTGCATTTGCTGTTACGAATTCAATCCGTAAATGTACATAGTATCGTTGTAAATAGCATGGGTTTATAAACCTTTTCAAAGATGTACTCGACTCTTTTCTTAGGGTACTGGTCCTAATATCTGGAAATCTCTTTGAGAGAGTTAGCCGAAGTTCTGTTTTTTAAGATCTTTCGGTGGATGTCTGTGTCATCGGTATCCTTCAATACCGATGTGAACGTTAGATACGAGAGGTTGTCGACAGAATATGCTAAAGTGGGTTTGTTTTTGAATTTGGTTTTCCATTGAACCAATAGTTGCCTGAATTTGCCGAAAATCTGGCTTCTGTGCGACGTACGTCATGAACTTTTGGTTTGTAGAATGCTGCGTTTTTGTTCTTGAAGAAGTAAGTCATCCACTTTTAGCTTCGTTCACATGTGAAGGTTCTCAGTGAAGGTGTCATATCAGAGAGGAAGAAGAATGAAGTTTTCATCGTACGCTTATTTTACTTTTGACGTTAGGAGTAACGAGTAATTTTTCTTTATTTATCTAGGAGAAAATTCAAGAATTAGAAATGCAACTTCATAAAGTGACTGCTGAGAACGAAAGTCTTGCTTTTCGAAATGATCAGCTTGTGAAACGTGTCGAAAACCTGCAAGACGAGTTGGATGCAGCAAACCATTTTAGAGTAGGATCAATTAAGGTAACCTTTGTCATAAACTTACACTCACCTCTTTATCCTTTTTGTTCTAGAAGGGAAAGTTTCCGAAAAAGTCGAAAGATGTTAAAGAACTACTCGCAGAAATTAAGACGCTTGGAGATCGTGTTGCTGTTTTGGAGGAAGAGTTGCAGAATAAGATACAACAGAACGAAGAGCTAATTAGTAAAGTATGTTCGGATCGTGCATATGTAAGATTTGTAAACTCTATACTTCAAAGCTTCAGCTAGGCGAACTTGAAGTACAGCATGCAGATGAGATATCCTCACTTTCTGCCGAGTTCACTCGAAAACTAGAAGAGGTGGAGTCACTCAGACCGAGGGAGCACAAGCCGGAGAGACCTGT